TGAAAGGAGGAATAGGTTTGAGGCAAACAACAAGGATTAATTAGTTACTGTGAACTTGTCCACACAGCTTTGAAAGAAGGAAGCAATTTATCCATTTTCCAGAGATGTTTTCTGACCCTAGAGGTGTGAATACAAGATGCTGAAAGAGCATGATCTACCTAAAATTTCTCAAGTTTAATTTTTTGAAAAATACTGTGGAGGCCATGGAATGCATGAGTTAATTTTAACGCAAAGAGGGTCTGTGGGTATTGTGAAATACTTTGTCAAATGAGGCAGGAGAGACTCACGCAAGAAGGCCAGAAAATAAACAGAATTTAGTACTCACAAGTGCCAGAGAGGATACTACGGCACGCATGGACACAGGGCTACACAGGGGATTGCACCCAGGGACAAAGCAACAACACGTTGGGAGTGTAGGAGAGGGCTTATGTATGGCTAGAGGGTGTAGGTCTTGGAGTTAGCATGTGCTAAGAACTTAATGGTCAGTTTAAAAGCTTCAAGTGCTTTAGTGTGGGAAAAGCCCAGGACTAGAGAAAAAGTATCAAACCACAAGTTGTTTACAACTTACCCAGGAAATGTCAATCACCCTGGACAAAAAGTAGAAAACCATCTGGGCCATGAAGCATTCAGTGGTGACAGCACAGCCAACAGGAGCCCATCCTGAGGGGGGCCAAGGGGAGCCCATCCTGAGGGTGCTGACAGGGCCAAGAGGAGCCTGTCGTGAGGTGGCTGAGAGGAAGCTTGTCATCCAACGGTCACTAACAGAGAGACACTCGTGTTGGAATAAGCTGGGACATAAGATGGGCCAGAGCATTAGGCTGCCCACCAGCCACAAGAGAACTCTCATGCAACGGGTACACTGTAAAACGAAACACCGAAGCTGACTCCCAGTTAGGAATTTTGACTCAGGAAGAGCTGAATTTCAACATAATACTTGACCAGGGAGTATGGAGCTCCCCCTACTGGGACGCTGGTTTGGGGGTCATATTCTATACGCTATAAGCTGAATATGCTAGAAGCAATTTGAAATTTCAGTAATCACTTTGTGAAAATGACTTCCCGCCCGCTATTTTTCCTTCCACTTTTGGAAAATGAGTATCTGTTTGTGTTGTCTTTTCTTTCCTCTTTGGGGAATTCTTGTTTGGTGATTAAGTTTTCTCATACGGTCTGAAATCTATCTGATATTCTGGCAAGTTAGTGAGTTTTATTTACGACCTGTTTTTCTGTTGAACTGAGTCAATCTTACCAAAGAATTGATGTATATACATTTTAAGGCCCTGAATTCCCTATTTGTTTTGTATTCTGTTATGTGGTTTAAGAGTATAAGCCTGGTTTTTCACCCGGACTCAACAAACTGGTGAGTTTATGTTTTTCTATCTTGTTTTACTCTGAGACCTTGACTCTGATGTAGTGATTGTAATCATAATATCTTTTAGTCCACTCAGTCCTATGAGGTCAATCTCAGTTCCTTGCAATTCTGGATCAGCAGCAGTCTGTAAACCCGTCACTTTCTATGGAAGAGTTCTGGAAATCTTGATTCTAGTGGTATCCACATTCAAAACACCACAGTATTTTTTATAGGGAATTAATTACAGAACGAATGCAACACTAAAGTCGATACAAAAAACATTAGCCAAAAGTATTTCTAACAATGATTAATCATATTTTCAAAGAACTTCAGATATAACACATAGTAATTTTGATATGTAATATCATACAGTCAGGATGCTGTATTTTTACAGAAATAATGCACGACTTCTATGTTCACTAACCACATCCTCCCCAAGGTACTTTCGTAAGTGTGCAATGCAAATTTTTTTACAGTAACATGTAAAAAAAAAATTAGGATGGTGGAACTTAAAAAAACACCTTGTTTGGGGAGGGTACGGTTGACAAACATACAAGGCATGCATTATTTGCTTAAAAATACAGTATACCAAGAAAATACCAAAAGTATCAAGTACGCAGGCATCTAAATCGTAAAAAAAAAAAAAAAAATTTGGGGTAAACAATGTGAATTCCCCAGTTAAAACCAATGGCTCTGATGACGCTAGACTCAAAAGAATTAAAGTTGTGACCACGATAGCAATGAAAACAGTAAGAAAATTATGACATAATTTTATGCGCTTGTTGTCTAAAAGCAGGCACACTGACACATTTTTAACCTAAGAAAAATTTGGCACTTCACCTGAATTGACAACGTTTCATGTAAATCATTACACATTAAGTAAATCTTTTAAACTCTGTTACTTATCTCTTATAGTACCTTTTAAGTTGCAAAAGTGAACAGATTAGCAGATCCAAATAATATCTTCTCTTCCTAGCATAAAGCAAAATTACATAAACTTAATTATACTGAATATTGATCAAATCAATTTAGTATCACTTACTGTTCACCAAAGCCTTCCCCCCCTCCACATCTCTGGGCTAGTGTTTCTCAACTTTTCTTTATTGTCCTAAAGGAACTGTTTTAGACATTTTTTCTCTAATCACCTATTAAAATTAATACCACAACTACACTATGTATCAGTTTATGTATTTTTTGTCTTTAGAGGGCCACAATTCATTGTAATATCCAGGATATTTATGGCCCCTCAAACTCTATTTGTGCTTTTACTTTTCATTGCCTCAAGGTAATTCTGTCCTTATTTACACTTCCGTCTGTTAGACTAGTGGTTCTCAAACTTACTTGCACAAACATATCACCTGTGGATCTTGTTACAATGCAGATTCTGATTCTGCAGGCCTGAGGTTTGGGCCCCAGAATCTGCATTTCTGATAAGCTCCCATGTAGTGCTAGTGGTGCTGGTCCATGGACCACACATGGAATAGCGAGGCATTAGTTGGTGGTTAGAATTAGTACCATCTACTTATTTTATTAATGAAGGAGAAATTTTCCTGAAGATGTTGGAATACACAGTACACAAATGTCCACCAGATACCAGTTAGTAGAAGGTAAGGTGAACCCACTCACCACTCCATTGTCTGTCACATGTATGTTCTTTAACAGTGTGAACATGATGAACTTAGAGAAAATTGGGCCTCACAACAGCTGGGATAAATGAACCTCCACACATATATATTTGTCCCTTTTCCCTTGGATTAACCTACTCTCTGTAACAAATTTATAATGGTCTCCAGCCTGACATTAGCAGATGGCAGGATGTGCATGGCATAGTTTTTTATCTTCCTTCCAGGATATCAGAAAGTGCTGCTGGAAGTGGGGGGTACTTGAAATACAAATAGATGACAGAGATACAGAAATTGGAAAGAGGAAGGAGTTTAAGTTCATTTAAAGAGATAAGAGTCATTGGAGACTCCAAGGTTACCAACTGGTAAAGCAAGAAGTGATGTTATAAATAGCTGTACCACTTCTTTTAGTTGGAAACAGATTTCATGACCCACTACGTCCTCACTCAGGCAAATAAAAAATACCTCTAGTTTCTACATCTGGTTCCCCTATGATGTGTTTATGATTTATATAAGTCTCCACTGCAGGTCTTTTGACTCCTCGTGACTCAGAATGCACCTTCCCCCCAGTGGTTTCGTCAAGGAGGTGAGGGGGGTGTGGACTACACTGGGTTACACTATCAGAAGGGGTTGAAACCAAAATGACTATTTTTGTGCAGTGTTTCAGCAGAAACTTATTATTTTCAATAAAAATCTATAGTTAGTTATAACAAAAAGGTTTCATGGCATCAGAATTGGAAAAAGACTCATTAACGACTTTCAGTATGCAGATAACACAAATTGCTTGCTGAAAATGAAAAGGACATAATGTACTAATGAAGACCAAAGATTGCAACCTTCAATATGGATTACTTCTCAACATAAGAACAAAAATTCTCACTACTGGACCTATAAGCAACATCATGATAAATGGAGAAAAGATCAAAGCTGTCAAAAATTTAATTTTACTTGGATTCACAATCAACACCCATGGAAGCAGCAGTTAAGAAATCAAAAGATGCAATCTACTGGGTAAATCTGCTGCAAAAAAGCAAAGATGTCATCTTAAAACTAAGGTGCGCCTGACTCAAGCCATGGTGTTTCCAATAGCCTTATACGCATGTGAAAGCTGGAAAACGAATAAGGAAGAGCAATGAACTGACGACTCTGAATTGTCGTATTGGCGAAGAATACTGAATATAACCATGGACTGCCAAAACACTAAACAAATCTGTTTTGGAAAAAGTACCACCAGATTGCTCCTTAAAAGCAAGGATGGCAAGATTATATTTCACATACTTAGGAAATGTTATCTGGAGGAATCAGACCCTGGAAAAGAACACCATACTTGGTACACTACAGGTTCAGAAAAAAGAGGAAGAGCCCCAATGAGACGGACTGAAACAGTGGCTGCAACAATGAGCTCAAGCATAGCAATGATTATGAGAATGGTACAGGACCAGATAATGTTTTGTTCTGTAGTACATACGGTTGCTGTCAGTCAGAATCGACTCGAAGGCGCCGAACAGCAACAGTGTTTAATTATATTAAATATGCCTTAGTGTAACTAAAAACGTTCCTTTGATGTTTTCTGAACATACAAAAGTATAGTACATACTATATACTATGACAAACATTTCATTAACATTACGTATAAACCGTACCTAACAGTTCCAACTTACAAATTTGACTTAAAGACAGACCTAGGAATGGAATTCTTTTGCAATCCAGGGAGTGTCTGTACTGCTATAAACAATTTAATTAATAAATTAAAGAAGGAAAAATGGAAAATATTACTTGTAGGATTTCAATTAATAGAGAAGAAATGATTGAAACACAAAATACTATTTCATAAACACCATGATAATAACCATAAGTAATCATCATGGATACTAAAACCAATAGGCCAAAGTACAATGAAAAACAGAGTATTTGCACAGTCTCAAAGTATCACCCTATGAGAAACTTAACTAACTATAAAGAGTAAAACAGTTACCTTTACAATATGAAAGAGTAGAAGGAAAAGCATTAAATATAAAAACAAAACACTCTTAAACCAAATGTAAAATGTGTGTATTTAATTATATGCAAAATCACAAATATAAAAACATTGAAAAATATAAAATCACATTTGCTCAAGGCTATTCCCTGAAGCCTTATTTGCACTAGCCAAAGGCTTTCAGAAAGGGAAAATTTAGCTTGGATTGAGAAAGTAACACACACTAATTAGGACATCACCACAGTTACAATGACAATGTCATTTCTCCCAAAGTCACAAAGTAGCTCTAATTACCCCTTCCTTGAGTTAATACTGTTTCTTACTCAATACTTTTTTCTTTAATTACAAACTTTTGTAAATTTCTTATTTGAAATTATAGCAGGATGAAACATCTCACTTTTGACACAGAGTAGTCTCTCCACTGTGAGTTCTTACATGTTGCATGAGGTGTGCAGCCTGCCTAAAGGCTTTCCCACATTCCTTACGTTCATAAGCCTTCTCTCCACTGTGAGTTCGCATATGTGCATAAAGAGATGAAAAATGACTAAAGGCTTTCCCACATTCCTTACATTCATAAGGCTTCTCTCCACTGTGAGTTCGTATGTGCGTATTGAGAGATGAGGAACGACTAAAGGCTTTCCCACATTGTTTACATTCATACGGCCTCTCTCCACTGTGAGTCCTAATATGTCTAGTGAGGCCTGAGGAACAACTAAAGGCCTTTCTACATTCCTTACATACGTAAGGTTTCTCTCCACTGTGAGTTCTTATATGTGATGTGAGGTGGTAGGACTGACTAAAGGCTTTCCCACATTCCTTACATTCATAAGGCCTCTCTCCACTGTGAGTTTTTATATGTGAAGTGAGGTTTGATAACTGACTAAAAGCTTTCCCACACTGCTTACATTCATAAGGCCTCTCTCCACTGTGAGTCTTTATATGAAGAGTAAGGTGTGCGGAACGAGTAAAGGCTTTTCCACATTCCTTACATTTATAAGGCCTCTCTCCACTGTGAGTTCTTATATGTTTAGTAAGGTATGAGGAATCACTAAAGGCTTTCCCACATTGCTTACATTCAAAAGGCCTCTCTCCACTGTGAGTTCTTTTATGTTTAGTGAGGGAAGAGGAATGACTAAAGACTTTTCCACATTGCTTACACTGATAAGGCCTCTCTCCACTGTGAGATTTTATATGTGAAGTGAGGTTGGATAAGTTACGAAAGGCTTTCCCACATTCCCTACATTCATAAGGTTTCTCTCCACTGTGAGTTCTTTTATGCATAGTGAGGGATGAGCTCTGACTAAAGGCTTTCCCACATTCCTTACATTTATAAGGCTTCTGTCCACTGTGAATTCTTCTATGTGTAGTGAGGTTTGAGGCTTGCCTAAAGACTTTTCCACATTGCTTACATTCATAAGGTTTCTCTCCACTGTGAATTCTTCCATGTGTAGTGAGGGCTGAGGAATGACTAAAAGCTTTCCCACACTGCTTACATTCATAAGGCCTCTCTCCACTGTGAGAATTTTTATGTGAAGTGAGGCTTGAGTAATAACTAAAGGCTTTCCCACATTCCTTACATTCATAAGGCCTCTCTCCACTGTGAGTTCGCATATGTGTAGTGAGGACTGAGGAATAACTAAAGGCTTTCCCACATTGCTTACATTTATAAGGCCTCACTGCACTATGAGTTTTTATATGCGTACTGAGGGATCCAGAATGTCTAAAGGCTTTCCCACATTTCTCACATTCATAAGGCCTCTCTCCACTGTGAACATTCATATGCTGAGTGAGAGAAGAGTTATATTTAAAGACTTTCCCACAATCTTTACATTCATAAAGCTTACCTCTGTGATGAAGTTTTTTACGTAAAATGAGAAATTGATCACTATAGGTTTTACAATATTGTTCACATGCACGATTGTGACCTTTCAGATGTGTCCAAAAGGATGAGAAATTACAGAAATATTTCCCACATTCGTTACATTCATAGCGTTTCTCACCAGTGAGTGTTGTCACTGGATTCTGAAGGGTTGACGTACAAATTAAGTCCTTCCCACATACCTTACATTTACGTGGTTTCTTTCTATTAACAGTTCTCATAGGAGTGGTTAGGTGAGAAGGACAACTGCAGGCTTCGCCACATTCCTTACACTGACAGGTACTGCATCCAGTATGAGATACATTACGAGGGTTATGTGATGAGTGATCCATAAAGGCTTTTCCAGACTCACAGCATTCAAAAGGATTTATTTCTGAAGCAGTTCTCTTTAGTACATTAAGATCTGGCATCCGGCTGAAGATTTTCCCACACTTATTTCCTTCATTACTCTCACAGAGATTCTCTACTGTATGACTTCTCTTAAAAATAGGTAACATGCTGTTGGAAATAAATTTGTTCCCAGTTTACCAGTACAAAACACAGTGTATGCATAGTTTTCACAGTGACTTATCTCATGTTTCATACGAAAAATGAACTAGGAGAAATACTACCATTACCATAACCATTTTTCTAAAATATGAGGCTTTCTTATAATTGTTCCCAAGTGAAATATGTATCCAATACTTGATATCCAACTCACATTTATGAAAACGTACTGTGAAAATTCTCTGAACACAGAATTTTACATTTAGTTATATATACATGTATATAAACATGCATAGATACATACATATGTATACATATATAATTTGCATACATTAATACAATTCACGGCTTCAAACCAGGTCGTAACAGTTCAGTAATTCCTGACATAAACAAGGGCAGCACATGGATTGCAGAACAAATTCGTTGTGCATCGGATTTTCACCGGAAAGTTTCTACAGCCTGATGCAAGAGATGGGATTACTGGCAGGATTGTGGACAGCGACACACATTCAATGCAATGCGGCCGGCTGGCATCATTGAGCAGGGCACCACTAAATTATTTCCTACTTGGGTCAGAAACCAATGGGCAAAAAATTTGCTTACTATGCAAAGGGTACACTGACTTCATTTAAGGTGGCAATTACTGAACCACTACAAACTGGTTTGAAGCCTCTGTATACGAACATAAATATACGTGTATTTTAATGTCATCACACCTAAGGCCTTTCTCCTGAGGTAGTTTTCCTCTGAATGGCACTCACCTCAAATATCTCCCCTGCTTATTATGACCTTTAGTGCCATGTGATTCAAAGATTTCTCCTAACATGGAGGACCAGGTGTTATTCTTCATGAATTGCACCATTACATGTTCACTGGATAAACTTTCTCCATCATAAAGGTTTTGAGAGACTGACTCAATAATTCAGGTTGCAGTTCACAATATGAAATAAAAACAAAAGGAATTATAAGGGGGAAAACGTTGAGAATAAAGAAAAACAATCACATTTCGCTGTTTCAGCAGTACAGCAATGGTTAGAAAGCAACTTTCTAGGAAAAACATCTATGGGCATAGTTATGGACTGAACTGTGTCCAAAAAAAATTCATATCAACTTGGCTAGGCCATGATTCCCAATATTGTGTTGTTGTCCTTCATTTTTGTGATCTGATGTAATTACGTGTTGTAAATCCTAGCCTGATGCCTGTGGTTATGCTCCCATTTGGGAGTGAGTTGTCTGTTATGTTAATGAAGCATGATTAGGGTATGTTAATGAGGATTAAGTTGGAATACGCCACTCCTGCTTAAGTCACGTATTTTTTCTCACAAGAGATGAAAGGAGAGAGAAGCAAGCACAATGGGAGCAGTTTGACTACTAGCAAGAAAGAAGAGCCGGAAACAGAGTGTGTCGTTTAGGCCCTAGATCCCTGGGCTGAGAAGCACTTATACCCAGGGGAAGACTGATGCCAAGACATATGGAGATCTCCAAGTAATGCCGGGCACACAGATGTTGAAAGGAGATAAGGCCCTTCACCCGCAGCCAACAGAAAGAGAAAGCCTTCCCCTGGAGCTGGTGCCCTGAATTTGTACTTCCAGCCTTCTAAAATGTGACAGAATGAATTTGTTTCTTAAAGCCATCCACCTGTGGTATTTGTTATACTGGCACTAGATAACTAACACAAGGATTGAGAGTGATGGTGACATAAATACGCATAATTAGGATGACTAAGTAGAAAGATATTGGACACAATACACTTGGAAAGGTTGCTATACTCAGAAAAGTAAGCTCAGGTAACTGGGAAGTTGTATTCTCAACCCAAAAGATACTTTTTCTAGCTGACTGATTCAGATGCAATTCACTCCATGCAAGGCTGGTCCTTCCCAAAATTCTTGCTTTCCTGGTGCTTCCAGGCACAGTGGCCCTGGATGAGTCCTAACTCCACTGTGCTCAGATCTTTCCCTTGCTTCTCTGGGAAAACAAATGTGTACAGCTGTCATGGTGCTCAAGAAGAAAAGCCTATCCTGAGGAAGGAGAATGAAGAGCAGTGAACATTTCCTTGACACTGAGCCCATACTTTGCTCTTCACGGTCTCTGAAGATGGACAGGTGTGAGTTTATTTGCAGCAAAATAATCATGTCAAACTTGTAATCAACACAGTAAACCTCTCTACAAGGTCACAAAGCACAAATCTCTCAGTGCCCCAGAGTGACCCCAGACCTAATGCTTACACTTACAGTTCTTAAAGAGCCTCAGGGCATTTAATCACAAGAGAAATGAAAACTCACTTTAATACATAGAGCTTTATGTTCATGGGGAAGGCAGGATGTCAGGATCTGTGCGCTCCACAAACCAAGGAACCACGCCTGTATCATTTAACAATTTATTCCCATACCTCAGCCCAAATACTGGAGCAAAATCAACGAGTAAAATATTATTGTTCACTATAGGAAAAAAAAAAGTCATTCTTACCTATTGCGGCCAGGCTTCTGAAGGTTTCCATCATCACATCTCTGTAGAGTTTCTTCTGAGCAAGATCCAGCAAAGCCCACTCTCCCTGGCTAAAGACCACAGCCACATCTTCAAAGATCACTGTGTCCTAAAACATTCCATACATTCTGGATCAGCAAAGTATCACATACTGCAGCGTATAAGAACAAAGCGTGAGACTGACAGTCTGGGGAACTGAATATTCTTAGGGATTTGACACAAGGTTCTGTGTTCTACCAAGGTCTACTCTAGGGTATAGCCATCAGCCTTGTCACTTCACTAACTACATTCACTTTCTCACTGATTGCATCCTGTCTTACAGACTTCCAACATAATGAAATAATGTCTCCACACTTTGTAACCAATTGCAGTCTCATTCCTCTCTCTTTATGATCTAGAACAGTTAGCAAACAGCAGAAATTAGAGAAACGCCCTCATTCAGATAATGATTTCCTTGTGAACAATTACACCTCTTTTCATAAACCCCAACAGAACACTCAACAACACATAAAGCAAAGGGTGAAGGCAGGGTGAAATGTTAGTAATTGCGAACCACTGCAGAACGACAGTTTTTCCTTTTACCCCTTACAGCCACGGGAGGACCAAGGTCCCACACAAACTGATAACTCAAGGCCCTCAGCTGGTTATATTTTCTTGAACTCTAGGACATCAGGAAGTGACAGGTCTATCTGCTGAAAAAAGAATATTCTTTGGAGAACTACAGATTTTTGCATGTCAGTCACCTACTTTTCAAAAACTGTTGTTCTGTCATCCTGTCTATCCCTTTCATAGAGACAGGCAAAGGTAACTGAAGTTAAAAAGAGCAGGTGAGACAGGAAACATGATAATCCAGATCTCCCCACAATTATAGGATTTCAAGACCTGATGCAACTCTATACCAATTACATATTAGTGACTGCTCCCCTCAACAAACATAAATCATATGCCCTCACACAAATACACTGTCATATTATCAGAAAACAAACAGCATTACCTCTGCAGACACAAGAACAGCATACGCTTGCGTTGACTGAAAAGAGGTTACAACTCCCATTTTGTAATGACTGCACAACATGATAAGTTTAACCAAGTTATACATGTAAACATTACTGAATTAGTAAATGGTTTCTTATATACTTTTTCCACACACACAAAAATTAATTTTGTAAGGAAGTTGAAGTGCAGATTGTTTACCTGTTAAACTGCCATAAAGCCTAGGAAACAAAGACACACCAGTCCTCTAGATGCTCCATTCCAAAATTCCCCCACGTTTGCAGCCCCTAGAAGGCAAACAACTATGACTAACTGAACCCTGACCACTGGAATCCCCTGGTCAGTAAGAGTGACCTCTGTGAAAATAGCACCAATCCACTGGCTTCTCATGGAGAAAAGGCTGCTAAATACTCTTGTATCCCTGTCTTAGTTATCTAGTGCTACTGTAACAGGAATACCACAAGCGGACAGCTTTAACAGGAGTTTATTTTCACAGTCTGGTAGGCTAGAAGTCCAAACGCAGAGTGCCAGATCCAGGGGAAGGCTTTCTCTGTCGGCTCTGGAGGAAGGTCTTTGTCATCAATCTTCCCCGGACTAGGAGCTTCTTAGTGCAGGGACCTCCAGTTCTTGGGAACCTGGTCATCTTCCTGGCCATCACCTTGGACTGCCATCTCCACATGCCTGTGTACTTCTCCAACCTGTCCTTTTCTGACACGTTTCACCCCTGTCGTAGTCTCAAAGGTGCTGCTGAACATCCACATGCAGAACAGTCATTACCTATGCAGGCTACATCATGCACATGTGCTTTTTCACAATTTTTGGACTTTTAGACTATTTGCTCCTGATTGCAATGGCCTATGACTGCTTTGAGGCTAAGTGTCACCCATTGCACTACACGCTCTTCATGAACCACAGGTTTGTCAGCATGCTGGGGGCCCTTCAAGGTAGTTTGACTGTGTTGCCACCTCCTTTCTGCATAGTCATTGAAATCCCACACTCTTTCTGAGAACTCCCTGAGATCTTCAACCTTGCCTATTTCAACACCTTCATCAGTAACATTGTGTTATATATTGTAAAAGGTGTCATGGACTCTTTACTCTCACTGAAATTCTTTTCTCATGTGCACAAATTGTTTCTATAATGAGCATCTCAAGAGAACAAGGGAAGTGTCTTAGTTATACTGTACTGCTGTTAACAGAAATACCACAAGTGGGTACCTTTAACAAACAGGAATTTATTTTCTCACAGTTTAGCGGGCTAGAGGTTCAAATTCAGGGCTTGGGCTCTGGGGGAAAGTCCTTGTCTCTTCTCAGCTTCTGTTTCTCGGTTCTGTGGTGATCTTCATGTGGAGTGGCATCTTCCACTGTCTATTCTTGCTTGCTCAATCTGCTCAAGAGATTGACTTAAGCAAGTAAAGTTCTCTGAGATTTCAAAATGATTAATACTGCCTCATTAACATAACAAAAACATTCCACTCTGTGATGGTTAGGATTGTGTGTCAACTTGGCTGGGCCATGATTCTCAGTGTTTTGGCAGTCATGTAATGTGATCACTTCCTTGTTGAAATGTGATATGTGATCACCCTCATGATGGGATCTGCTGTGAGTAGCCAATCAGCTGAAAGGTAGTTTCCTTAGGTGTGTGGCCTGCATCCAAATATAAGCAGATGTTCGGGCAAGGCTCTAGAGCTTCTGCTCATTCTGGATCCTGCAACTGGCTTCTGTTCATCTGACCTCCAGTTCTTGGGACTTGAGCTAGCAGAGTACCTGCAGTCTTGCCTGCCAATCTTGGGATTCGTTGTTCTTCACAGTCTGTGAGCAAGAGCCCTGCTCTCCAACCTACCGATCTTGGGTTCGCCAGCCCCTACAGCTCCGTGAATCAGGAGAAGCCTCTATCCTGATCCATGGACATGGGATGTTCCAACCTCTACAACAGCGTGAGCATTTTCTTGATATAAATCTCTCTATATACACATATTTATATGCTTTACTGGTTTTCCTTCTCTACAGAACCCAGCCTAAGGCACACTCCCAAGTGGGATTAGAAGCACAGGTATAGGGATTATGATTTCCAAGACATTATTTTGGGAAACACAATTCAATCCATAACATTCCACCCTCTATCACCCCCAAACTTATGTCCTTGCCACGTGCAAAACACATTCACCCCTTCACACATCCCAAAAGTTTTAAATAAACTCCAAGTCTGAATTCTCATCTTCTGAATAATTTAATCAAATATGGGTAAGACATTAGGCATATTCCATCCTGGAGAAAAATTCTCTTCATCTGTGAACTTGTGAAATCTAGAATAGGAGTTATCTGATTCCAAAGCACAACGGTGGACAGGCACAAAGTAGACATTTGCATTACAAATGGGTAGCGTCCCTACGCAGTCTTCTCCCACACTGAACTGTGACACCAATACAATTATGCAAACACATCAGAATGTAGCTTCCAAGGCTAGTGCATAACAGACATTACAGTTTCCCCTTGCTCTCTTGCACTGCTCAACCTGAAGAGAAGCCAGCCACCATGTTGTGAGGACACTCAATCAGGCCTACAGAGTACCCCACATGGTGACAAACTGAGGCCTCCTGCCAACAGCCAGAAGCAGATCTTCCAGCCCCAGTCAAGTTTTCAGATGACTGCAGCACTGGCCAGTATCCCCAGTGACTTCAAATCAGTACCTCCAACTAAGTCATTCTTGCATTCCTGACCCACAGAAACTATGTGAGATAACAAATGTCGATGAATGTTTTAAACAACTTAGTTTGGGGCTAGTTTTTTATGGAGTAAGAAAAACTAATAATGACATGTAATTCTCAAAATCATCTTTGTCCACAAACATATCTTTTTTAGACTACTTTGCTGTTAGTTGCCACTGAGTCGAGTTCAACTCACAGTGACCCCATGTGACAGTAGGCCTGCCCCATAGGGTTTTCTTGGCTGTAATCTTTATGGAAGCAGATCACCGGGTCTTCTGCCTCTAGAGCCACTGGGTGGGTTAAAACTGCTGACATTTACTTTACAGTTAGCAGCCGACACCTTAACTGTGCCACCAGGGCTCCTCTTTTCTAGATTAGATCTACTAAATACTCAAGGGATATTTGAACCCTAAGATGCAAATCTTTCATTACAAGTTTGCTCAGATGCTTTGCAAGGGAAACAGACAAGGACAACGTGGTCTTCTCCACTGTCCCCCCAAATGCCTCCCTCTCTCACTGCCCTTCACAGGTACAAAGGTGCACTCCCGTGTCAAGGATCTTCTATCTGCATTTCTTACATATAAACAGACACACACTAGTTTTCTAATAAATGGAGTACACACCTGGAAACAAGGTTAGACAAATGTGCTCACTTAATATAGTCTGGAATTGGAAAGACCTTAGCTCACCTATGGGGAAACACCATAAAAATTCCCCAGTCTGCAACAATGCAAAGGGTTTCTTGGTGAGAACACTGCCTTCTGTCATTGAGCATTAAGGCAAGGCCAAGACTGTCTCTCTAACTTGAAGAACCAAACACCTGTAAATTCTCATGGAAGTTATTTTAGAGTATTGAAGTAAAAGGTCCCTCAGCTTCTAAGCATTTATCAGTGATGAAAATGGTTCCCAGGCGCCCCTCATCACCCAGTCCCAGGAAATCTCCCTCGTCTCATAACTGCAACTACACCATATTTCTGTGATGCATAAATTATGCCGAGTATAGAACAGTTCTTAAATTGTAATACTCAGGTCTGAAATCTATGCTGTAAACAAGGTCTAGTAACGTGGAACAGAATTAGTCTGTGATAAATTCATAGGCTACTATAAAACCTATGAATGCATGGATTTTTATGGCAAACATGCCACATTCACGTTAACTTTGGGATCAATTATGACTCTTGGATATTTTCCACACAAGCAAATAGCAAAATGGAATCTTTGAAGTGGAAAGCTCTTATCAGACGTGGCAGCAGAGTATGGGTAATGCGAGAAGGAAACAGAGCTGTCGAGTGGAGGTGGAAACACACTGCTGACCACAGCGTGACTGTGCAGGTGCCGAGAGGGAAAGTGGCACTGGTGAGGGAGTGCAGACTACACGATGCACTGTCCAACCAAGAGGAAACCAATGC